GGGAGAAAGGGGAGGGAAGAAGAAAGGGGACATTACAATTAGCATGTATAATGTGGAGGGGTCGCACAGGGAGGGCTGTGCAACACAGAGAAGACAAGTAGCGATTTTACAGCATCTCACTACGCTGATGGATAGTGACTAGTGGGGTATGGGGGAGGGTACTTAGTGGAGGGGGGAGTCTAGTTAACATAATGTTCCTCATGTAATTGTAGACTAATGATACCAATATAAAAAAATAAAAAATATATATATATATATAAAATGAACTCATGGGACTACAACAAACTAAAAAGTTTCTGTATGGCAAAGGGCACCATCAAACAGAACAAAAAGTCAATATGGGAGAACATATTTATAAATAACATATTCAACAAGAGGTTCACATCCAAAATACATAAAGAACTTTAACACCTCAACACCCAAAAAGCAAATAACTCAATTAACAAATGGGCAGAGGATATGAAGAGACAGTTCTCCAAAGAAGAAATTCAGATGTCCAACAGACACATGAAAAGATGCTCCACATCACTAATCATCCGGGAAATGCAAATTAAAACCACAATGAGATATCACCTCACACCAGTAAGGGTGGCCAGCATCGAAAAGACTAAGAACAACAAATGCTGGCAAGGATGCGGAGAAAGGGGAACCCTCCTACACTGCTGATGGGAATGTTAGCTAGTTCAACTATTGTGGAAAGCAATATGGAGGTTCCTCAAAAAACTAAAAATAGAAATACCATTTGATCCGGGAATCCCACTCCTCGGAATTTACCCAAAGAATACAACTTTTCAGATTCAAAAAGACATATGCCCCCCTATGTTTATCGCAGCACTTTTTACAATAGCCAAGATATGGAAGCAATCTAAGTGTCCATCAGTAGACGAATGGATAAAGAAGATGTGGTACATGTACACAATGGAATACTATTCAGCCATAAGAAAGAAACAAATCCTACCATTTTCAACAACATGGATGGAGCTGGAGGACATTATGCTCAGTGAAATAAGGCAGAGAAAGACAAGTGGCAAATGATTTCCCTCATTTGTGGAGTATAACAATGATGCAAAACTGAAGGTACATAATAGCAGCAGACCCAGAGACTCCAAGAAGGGACTAGTGGTTACCAAAGGGGAGGGGTGTGGGAGGGCACATGGGGAGGGAGGGAGAAGGGGATGGAGGGGTATTATGTTTAGTACACAGGGTGTGGTGGATCACAGGGAAAACAGTGTAACACAGAGAAGGCAAATAGTGAATCTGTGGTATCTTACTACACTGATGGACAGTGACTGCATTGGGGTATGGGTGGGGACTTGATAATATGGGTAACTGTAGTAACTACACTGTTTTTTCATGTGAAACCTACATAAGAGTGTATATCAATAATATCTTAATAAAAATTTTAAAGAAAAACCTGGTGGAAAAGGAAAGCTGCCAAGGAATAATCACACAAATTATTACATATCAAAAGGGGTCAGAAATCTATACTCATTCAATGAATAAGCAACCAACATTTTATTTAATCATTATATATCAGAAGCATTAATATTGAAGTCAGGATACAAGGAGACTTGTTACGACTATTAAATTTTTCTACTCAAGTCATAAAATAATATAGAGAACTATTACAAAGAGGGCAAGAAAAAAACCCTCATTTGCAGATGATCTCATGCAATCTAGAAGATAACAAGGGGAATCATTGAAGAACTATGAAAACTGTAAGAATTCAGTAAGGTGATTACAAAATTGGTTATAAATAATGGTTGCTAAACTAACACAAAAAATTAGTTCTTTTTTATGTCAATAGTAATCATAAAATAAATCAAGATGAATAAAATTTCAAGTACAATAGGAAACAAAATTATAAAATACTCAGGAACAAATTAATAAAAAGTGCTAGGATAGTTGTGTTATCCTGGAGCACAGGATACCGTAGGGGCTTATAAACTTAATAACTAACTTAAAGAGTGGGGCTGGAATCTACCACATGAAATTGACCTGACAACTCTGAACTCTGTCATGAGACCCCTGTCAAAGCTTAGCTGGCATACGACCCAAGAGGTAAGCATGGCCTGTCTCCCCAGTGACACTCTGGATCTGATCAAGACCTGCATTTCCCTGGCCTACATCTGAATCACAGCAATCAGCTCAACACTGTTCACATTTCTCAGACCTCATGTAGGAAACAGAGCCAGTCAGTAGAGACTTAGGCTCATCACTCTTTCAGGAATCTGCTAAGATGTGCATAGAGAAAACTTACTCATTTTTGAAGAAAGAAATTTCAGTAAACTCTGATAGAGCATTTGGCAGAGAACCTTACTATATGCAAGTGTGGAAATAAATGAGTACTAGGCCTTTTACATTATTGTTACTGAATAGAACCAAAGGATTTTTTGGAATGTGCCTGCATTAGTAATTCCCAATTAACACAGTCTTCAATATTTCAGAAGTTGTGATTATTTGACTATGGTTTGGTTTCAAGATTATCTTTCCACTGTCTGGACAAAAGTAGTTTCCTCAGAAAATTAATAGTGTAAACAAATGGTTTGAAGCACCACAGAAGCATCTGTTTACATTCATATAATTAATATGCTAAACATTCTTACCTACTAAACAAGGGTACCTAAGGACTTTTCTAGTAATACTTCATTAGCCTAATTATAATGAGTATAAATAGTTGAAGTAATAAACGGACATCTGTCTTAAAACATCCTTTAATTTAAGCCTTTTACTAAATCAAAGTAGCTTTCATACATTAGTTTCAATTACTAAGATTTTACATGGCAAAACAAAAAAACAAAAAATGCCACTGAAATAAGAAATAAAAATTTCAGCTCTTACCTTTGAAGTTCTCCATTCCCAACCATCGCCTATCTGCTGTGAATGTTTAATGAATTCTGCACAATGATGCTGGAATGTTTTCTCTCCGAAGAACTCATATTCTTCCATACTGAATGATAACTGCAATATAAAAATCAAGTATTAGCATCAGCTATAGAAGGAGTACAGAAAGGAATTCTGCTAATGCACTGATTTCTTCAAACAAACCAAATTTGGGGATGTAGAATGGAAGACAACCACAGAGCCCTTCCAAAAACAATCTTTCTCACCCTATCCCCATTTTCAGTCAGGAAGAAAATGTGATCAACATGAAACCCCAAAGCCTAGATTTATAACAAATACATATCTATGGCTCAGAAAGCTTAGTATGTCTATAAATTTAGTTTCAAAAGCTTAATTTTATCTCACTCATCGCTTCTTCTAAGCTAATGCTTCCAAACATCCTCCTCAGAACCTCCTTCACTACCTTCTACCTTAGCTCATATACAAATAATGTGACAGTGATTAGTGAAGCTGAGCTGAGCTGTTCTTCACACTTTTTATTAGAGTTCAACTCACTAACAAATGATGTTCTAAAGCCTGAAAGTATTTGTTCTTCAAGGTGTAACGCTATGATCACCTAACTAATTACCTACTTTATTGAAATTACAAATGTGACAAATCAAGGAATACCCACACATTTGTTATATAAATCTGTCTAAAACACAAAACATTGTTTAAAGAAAGAGACTTTTAAAACTGTTAGGTAAATACAGATTTTGTACCAAGTCTCTTGATGAGAACAGCTAGACCCAGTGAAGTACCAGTGTCCTCCTCAGTGGTGGGCAGCATCAGGACCATTACCACGTATTGACTGCTCACCTTGCCAAGCACTATACTAGATACTTCACATTGCCATTTAATCCTCACATAAGCCAAAGGCTGTTGTTATCCCCATTCCGCAAATGAAAAAGACAAAGTAATGGGCTCAAGAACACAAAGAAGAAAGGACTCAAACCCCAGTTTGGATTCAGAGCCAATGATCTGTCTATATTAGCTGATTCCTAGTCCACTCTTCTTTCTGATATTCAAATTTAGTATGGCCTATATAAGAATTTCTTCATTTGCTCAACAAAGTTATACTGAGTATCTACTAAGTAACAGGCACTGTGCACAGGTGAAGGTTAGATATATGAAAATTAAAAGAATATATAGTCCTTGACTTATAAAAGCTCATATTATAATGCAGACTTACAACAAAAATTACAGTAGAAACTCTCTTAAACAACTTCCATTCAACTAGCTAGCCAGATTAATCTGCACAATGTCCATTCCCTGTAAAAAATACTGACAAATGTCTACAGCATGCTGATCATAAAAGCACCTCTGCTCCCATCAGTTAAGTGTATGTCCACAAACTACATTCAGGTAGTATAAACATATACTTCAATTAAATGCTACACAAACCAAACCAATAAAGTCTAAGTAAAAAGAAAGACAACTGTTATTTCTATGATTTGATGCCTTGGAAAGGCTTTATAAAGGTAAATCTCTATAAGAAAACAAGTAACTATTAAACTAGAAGTGGACGGTGCAACTGAAAAGACTGGTTGAGGACTAAAAAAGAATCATACAAATATAGGATTTGACATTCAGATTGCTGCACGAGTGGATTGAGCTATTTCTTTTTTAAGCCAAAACTAAGTATCTAGAGAATGCATTCTAGGTTCAGTGTAATCAAGAATGAACAATGAATTCCAATCAAGTACCCGTACTCAAAGAAAATGCCCTGGTCATACATGAGAAAATTGGCAAATCAATGTATTTATAGACTTTAAGTTGAAATAAAATGTTTCAAGTATGCATGTATTTTTTTAACTCCACCTTTAATAAACTTTTTCTATTAACTGTTCAACTCTGAATTCTGACAACATTGGAAAAGAGAACTTCTATTTAAAGCATATACAATTATGGAGCTATCACAGATTATGGTAGGCACAAAAAGGGTCCTCTATTAAGAGGGGATGATGTGGGAGGGTGTGTGGGGTACAGGTAGAGAGATAAGTTTTTAAGGTAAGCAGGAGTTTCTGCAGGGCAAAGTGTCAGTGAGTAAAGTACAGGGTTGGAACAGTGGTCCAATCAGGAAGGATGGTGTGAACAAAGGCAAGTAAGGGTACAGAGAACTACAAGTTTTAGGTTACAAAAGTGATACAAGGAGTGAAGGGGATAGACAGTCTAATCACATGCAAGTTAACTCTATCTGCCCTCACTAGTGGATCAGAAATGGATGAGAAGGCCCTTGAAGATACAAAATAGAAGAATAGTGAATTTCCTGGAAGGAGGCTATGTGCCATGAGAGTCTGGACTGTTTCCATAGGACATAGAGAGTCAGACCATGGATATGAAAGGGTCAGAATAATAAATCACTGCAGGCTCTGTGGAGGATGGATCTGAAGTGTTCAAGCCTGAAAGTGGGGACGAGAATTAGCAGCTGTTGCAGTGGTCTGGATAAGGGGTCATAGAATCTAAACTCAGGCAATGAAAAGCAGCAGAAAGAATACACATCATACTGTGGAGAGAAGCCAAGAGCAACGAAGAGGACTGTAAGTTGTCTCTTTAAAAGAAGACAAACGAAATCATGAAGGTGAATATCATCCAGCTAGAATGCATATAGCGATTCTTGATATGGCTCCTGATAGATCATTAAAGTTTACACTAAATTTTGTATGTATATGCCTACCTATATTTGGGAAAGAAAGATTCTGTCATTTTCAACAGATTATTTGAGGGGTCTTAGCAAAAATGTTAGGAACCTTTACACACAGTGAGAAGAGAACTGGGTTGAGAAAGAACTTTCAGAAGACCAGCATTAAGGGGTCTATAGAAAAAGAGGTACAAACAAAAGAGCTAGAGAACAAAGTCAGGCATTAGGAGGAGATCCTAGCAAGAGTAGTGCCAACAAGCCCAGGAATAAAGGCTTCAATGGAGCAGAGAATCACTAACAGATAACCAACAATGTCAAAACAAAAGGCCACTTAAGAAAAGGACTGAAAAAAGTCCAGGGAACTTGAAAACAAAGCAGTCATTAATGCGTTCTGCACATCATCAATGATCAGTTTCTGTGGTGGAGATAGAAGTCCGGTTGTGATGGGCTAAGGAGAAAACTAAAAGTGAGGACACAGTGAAAACGTTATAGGCGACTTTAACAAAAAGCGTGGCTGAAAGTATATAAATTGGTGACAGAGCAGCACACAGGCTTAAAGGAAAATGTTGTTTTTCCCTATCAAAAGAAGATATCCAAATATATGTTTAAGCTGAGCAAAGGGGATTGACTAAAAGGAAAAGTTGAAGATACCAAAGAGAAACTGTCTTACAAAGCAAAACCCTGCAGGGCTTGGGAGGAGATACGGTCAAGAGCACAGAAGGATGAATTTGAAAAACAGACACCTTGCCCCTCACAATTGGAAGAAAGGCATTTGAGGATGAATGTATTTGGAGATTTTCAAAGGCAAACCAACAAAGTCTGATGATCACAAGATATTCTGAGGTATGGGTAGGCAAGATGGTCTACAAAGAGTAAGAGGATAGTGATAGATGGAGAGTCTTTGAGAAAAATAGATTTGGAATTTCTGGTGAGGGAAATGAGAAGACAGCATTTAAAAATCAGCACACAGAAACCATTAAACTCATGGAAAAAAACATAGGCAAAAACCTCTTAGACATAAACATGAGTGACCTCTTCTTGAACATATCTCCAAGGGCAAGGAAAACAACAGCAAAAATGAACAAGTGGGACTATATTAAGCTGAAAAGCTTCTGTACAGCAAAAGACACCATCAATAGAACAAAAAGGAACCCTACAGTATGGGAGAATATATTTGAAAATGACAGATCCGATAAAGGCTTGAGGTCCAAAATATATAAA